AGCTCCACAATCCCACATCAAAATGTGATGGAGAGATCAGATTAGAGTAGTTTAACCCAGGTGGAGGAGATTGACCTTAATCAGTCCAAAGCAGTGTTAGTGGGCAGAAAGAATTGTTATGGACAAGCTACTGAGAAGGAGCCAACCAGAAACAGAGGTTCTACACTCACAGATAAAACGTTTTTAGATACAATGACAGCCACATTATAGATGATGAGGCAGTCCCACAGGATGAGCCGGGTCCTGGATGACGTGACCAGCAGTTTGGTTCCGAACAGCAGGAAAAAGAAGGAAGCCAGAAGGTAGCCCAGTCCAAAGATGGAGATCCTCGTGGCCCCTGTGATGAAGACCACTGACAGCACAAACCAGAAGAAGTACCGGAAAACCAACACCTTGGCCATATCCAGATAGCTCCTGGAGGAGGACAGAGCAGGAAAACTCAGTTAGGTGTCCAGAGTTCCAGGTCCAGGTCTAATTCTTTGACATTTTCCTTTTTTTTCATGCATTTGAATGGGCTGATATAGTGCTACTCATACTCATAAACAATCAATCAATCAATCAATCAATCAATCAATCAATCAATCACTTTATTTTGGTAAATTGTCCACATTAAACACAAGAAACAACAAAAGAAAAAAAGAAAAGAACAATAGACAAACCCACAGTTTACCAAAAAAGGAATAGGCCGAAGCAAAGCTTATTCTTGCCTACCCTATTTTTTACCTTACAACCTACCAGGATTTCTTCAAATTCAGATTCAAGTACATAGTACATGTATAGATCTACATAACAGCGTAAGATTTGATCATTTTACATTTTAAAGCTCTTTTAAAGATCACCAAGAAAGGACATAACTTCAATTAAAACACAATGTTCTGTGTCTTATTTTCTCATTGCATTTATCAAACCTGCTGACTAGCTGAGATGAGTCGAGGATAATAAAAACTCCCCGGTGAGGCGGGAAAGCCGTGTATTTGGGTATTTTCTGCTTTGGCTGCCTTTACCTGCAGTTGATGAAGTTAGGAGCAGGGTTAAAGAGCCGGCCCTCCATGGGCTCAGGCTCATCCGTGTTCTCCCCCACCACAACCATCCACTCCTCTGTGTGCTCCCTCTCAAACACCGCCCACTGCTGGGACGCACACATCAGCAGGACAAAGTCCGCTGTGGAGGACACAGACCTCATCAGGCACAGGTGTAGAAGGGCTTTACACAAATGCACAAAGGCGGTTTTAAGATAACCTCACTGACAGAAAATGAATAAGAGAAAGAAAAATCATTAAGTCGTTGACTGGCAGCCATTTTCAGAACAGAGTCGCATACTGCCAGAGTTTTTCGAGCATTTTGACTGATTTTTCAAGAGCCACAGAATAGTTTGTGCTATGACTATGTAAACACCGAACACACCAAAAGAAAGAGTAGACTCTCTTCTTTCATCAGGAAAAAAAAATGTGTTTCTATCTTATTCCGTTCTTCCTGGACTTGCGTCTCACCGGCGACATGTTCTCTCATAGAACCGTTAGCTTTTTCTTATTTGCCTACAGTCTATGCTCATCTCCCATCAAAAGTGGCACTGCCCCCTAGAGGGTCAATTTGTTACTACATACTCTGTCTAGAAGCCCATATTTACGGACAAGCTTTAGCAGATCGTCCCCCAGACACTCGTTAAAAACACAAAAGACCTCTATAGACGTCTTTGGCAGTCAACGGTTGGATTTGAATTGACGTCTATAGACGTCTTTGGCAGCCAATGAGTTAAAGACTACACTAAAAAACACTAAAATCCAAATAAGTGGTTGACAGATACGCTGAGAAATCAAAGAAACTGGACCATGTTAGACTCTGTGGATCAGACTGGAATGATGGACAGTGTCCAATCAGAGGCCAAAGCCTGACTGAAAGCCAGTGGAGATCTTCTAGACCAGGGGACTCAAACTCCAGTCCTCTCTGGCCTCTGTCCTGCAGGTTTTAGAGGTGTCCCTGTTTCAACACCTGTCTCTCATCAAAGAGCCGTTAGCAAAGCTCAGCAACGTCCAGAGGAGATCCAGTTTAGTCAAGATCAGGAGTTCAGAAGCAGGAAACCATCTACAACCTGCAGGACTGCGTCCCAAAGAGGACTGGTATTCCAGACCCCTGTTCCAGACAAACAGTGAGTTTTTCTGCCATCTCCTCATCTTAGAGCTTGGGCCTGAAGTTTGGGAACTGGCCCACAACTGTCAGGGTGTGAGTGCTCCAGTTTGGGCTGCTTTAAAACTCATCAGTTTGATGCCTCTGGGCCCAGACTGTGGATCATGGCTCTCCAACTCCGGTCGTTCAGGGTATGCCGCAGGTTTTAGAGGTTCCCCTGCCTCACACCTGATTCTGATTGAGTGGCTCAGTTCAAAGGCTCTGCACAATCCTGATTCAGGAGTTATGAAGCAGGGAAACCTCTAAAACCTGCAGGACAGCGGCCCTCCAGGGCCAATTCTGTAGAGTTACAGCTACAAAGCTGTTCCTAGCACCCACACAGAGATGAAAGCATGCCTTAAATTAAGTGCTTCACTGGTGGAGCAACTCTGTGGATGCACAGCCCCTCAGGCTGAAAGCAAAGAGCGTTTAGCAGCAACATATGCAGCAAGAAACAAGACGTCAACCCAGAGCTGTTCTCACTGGGACACACCAACTGACCCATCAGATTTTTGGAGTTGGGCACGGTGTAGAAGTCAGG